ATATATATATAAATTTCCATCATTTTCCTCAGCCACTTCCACAGGAAAGCTTTGATTGGACCTCTTTCTCTTCTCAGGGCAGATGCTTTCCAGGAACTGGACAGGCATTCCAGAGAGAGGGTTGGGAGAGGGAGAAGCAGCATCCTCGGATGAAAGGCGGTAAAGGACGGAAATGAATTTGTAGAACCATCGTGGAAGCTGACACCTGTTCTGGACGGAAGAGGGCAGGTGGAGCCGGAGCCGGGCTTAGCATCTGCTGGGGTGGGGGTGCCGGGGATGGAGGGGCTGGTGAAGCTGCTGGGTTTGAGGGCCTTGGATCTCCTCTGAGGTGAGGGCTTTTGGGGGGTACAGAATGCGGTGGGTCACAAAATGGGGAACAGACTGGATGATATCATCTTTCCCCTGGGAAAGCGAAGTCTGTGACCCTGCGTGGGTGTTCTGCGTGGGTCTGTAGAGAGCTCCAGTTTACAGATGGAAAGAGAGGAAAGGGGGAAACAAGGCCAGGAAAGGGAATGGAAGCTTCCTGTGTTCAGTCAGACCAGAGTTTTGTTCCAGGAAGACTTTGGCCACATCTTCGCATTACACGACATTGGAAGGACCAGCCCTGGGTCACAAGGCTGAGTAATAAAGCTGTAATGTTCTGTGTGTGTGTGTCGGTTGTGGGGCTTGAACTCTGGGCGCTGTCCCTCAGCTCTTCAACTCAAGGCAACCGCTCTACCACTTGAGCCACAGCGCCACTTCCGGTTTTCTGAGTGGTTCATTGGAGATAAGAGTTTCACGGACTTTCCTGCCTGGGATGGCTTTGAACCAGGATCCTCAGATCTCAGCCTCCTAGGATGACAGGCGTGAGCCACCAGTGCCCGGCTATAATGTTCTTTATTATTTGGCGTTATGGACTGAGTGACTCCAAGTTACCAACAGGAGGCATTCGCGATTGCTTCATTTCCCATTTTAAAAGTCAGTTGGCTGACTCCATGGTGATTTTAAAAGCCAACAGCATCAGCAAAACTTGCAGCATTACATTACCAATCTTTATGGATTGTCCATCTTTGTGACCCTAAGTACCAAGGGTCCGTCCTGTGAGTCAGTAATTGTAATAAAGGTCACATCCTGTGACCTCGTAATTATAAGACATTTATCTTAGGAAAGAACCTGGAAATTGGAAGTAGCATTAGGTTAAAAAAAGTAATGCTTATGTCAACATTATATATGAGTTAGAAAAGCTGAAAACAATCTAGAAGGATATTCCATTATAAAGAAATTAATGAGTTTGGGGGGCATTGAGTAACATTGGAGAATGTTCAAGAAAGGTGGATTGAAAAAGGCTGTGACATTAATAGCCTATTTTAAAGTTAATATTATATCACAAGACTATCCCAAGTCATTCTGTGAAAACAGTGTGCTCGAGGGCTGTAAAACATGTTAGTGGATGTAAATATAGTCAACTATTAACTATAGTTGACTGTATCCTTATGTACATATAAATACATATGTACACACTGTAAACAACATAAAGATGGGGTCACAGCAGGGTACTGCTCTGCATCTTTTTTTTTTCTTAGTTGACAGTATAATCCAGAGATCTCACTACATAAACACATGCACGTCTTCTTTACTTTTATTTTTTTTTTGTGGGTCATGAGATTTGAACTCTGGGCCTGGGCGCTGTCCCTCAGCTCTTCAGCTCAAGGCGAGCGCTCTACCACTTGAGCCACAGTGCCACTTCTGGTTTTCTGAGTGGTTCATTGGAGATAAGAGTCTCATCGACTTTCCTGCCAGTGCTGGCTTTGAACCTCGAGCCTCAGATCTCAGCCTCCTGAATAGCTAGGATGACAGGTGTGAGCCATCGGCACCTGGCCCTCGTCTTTTTCCTTTTCCTTCCTTCCTCCTGTTCTGTGCTTTCTCTCCATCCTGTCTTTCCTCCCTCCTTCCTTCCTTCCATTCTACCTTATTTTATCCCATGGGAGAAGACCGAGAGGGACAGAGCTAGCTTGAAGATGATGCCAGTTTAGAGGACAGCAGGATGGGCCTGCGCAGAAGCCGTCCAACGTGGCTGGTGGGTGGAGATGCTCAGAGCATCACTGTTTAGACCACGCCTACTTCCAGGGGGACCAACTCACCGTGGAATTGGGTCATATTTACTGTGCTTCACTTTGAGGAATCTGGCGACAAGTTCTGCCCATCAGAGTCCTTTCAAATGTCCTTGGTCCATCTAAAACCTGATGCAGTTACTGACCATGTCCTTATCCTCATGGAAATTGCTTGCATTCACTTCAGTCCCAAGGGTACCCACAAACCACGGCTCACCCCATTTATGGGGGAGGGAGGTGTTCATTTGAGAATGGGCCCATGTGGACACAGCACAGTGCTTTTAGGGGCGGCAGATAGATACAAATAAATGGCATGTGCCATGATGGTTCTTCACTCTTCCGGGAAATCTGGCCATGGTTTAGAACAACCACAGAATGACCTCTCTACCTGATGTGAGGAAAGAAAACAGGCTGCTCACTGAGATTTTGTTGTTGTTGGTCGTGGAGCTTGAACTCAGGGCCTGGACGCTGTCCTTCAGCTCTTCAGCTCAAGGAGAGCGCTCTACCACTTGAGCCACAGTGCTACTTCCGGCTTTTTCTGCTTATGTGGTGCTGAGGGATCGAACCCAGGGCCTCAGGCATGCAAGGCAAGCGCTCTACCACTGAGCCACCTTCCCAGCCCTGGCAATTAAGTTTTAAATAATAAAAGCAAGAGATGAAAACAAGGGATCAAGGATAGAAGCTAGTTTTCTTACAATATTTTGTCATAGATTGAACCTATGTAAAGATGTTCTATAAGAGCCAGGTGCTGGTGGCTCATGCCTTGTCACCTAGCTTCTCAGGAGGCTGAGATCTGAGGATCGTGGTTCAGCAAAGTCCATGAGACTCTTTATCTCCAGTGAACCACCAGAAAACCAGAAGTGGTGCTGTGGCTCAAGTGGTGGAGCACTCGCCTTGAGCTGAAGAGCTGAGGGACAGCGCTCAGGCCCAGAGTTCAAGGCCCCACCACCAACAAAAAAGAAAAGAAAAGAATCTGGCAACATAGTACACAGCCCTTCTTTCCTTCCAGTGTGGCAATGTGCTTCTTACGTTTCTACAGTCTCTACCTTCTCCTGTCCCCAGGGGATGGACATATGAGGACTTGCAATCCTTAGCTAAGATGAGCAACCTTGTACACCCTGCCTTTTTTTGTTTGCTTGTTTCATAGCCCCGTTCCTTTTGAGATACAGATTCCTAGAAGGAAGATGGCCTGGCCTGAGGAGGGAGGAACATATCATTTTGGCAGAGCTTTCCAAGTTCCATTCTGCATTCCCCTCAGCAGTGTATGGTGGTGGTGTTTCTTCACACTGTAATCAAACTTCTGAATATGGTTTTATAGTCTCCCTCACACACATTTTTTTTCCCCCTCTTCCCTTGCAGTCTTTCACTGAGAGGTCTGTTTCACTTGCCTGTGGTTTATTACTATTTTGGAACTTCAGAAGCTGTTATTTTCATGTCCCCAAATCTCAGTGTGGAGTGGAAGGGTCCATTTCAGGGCTCCGGTTTCAGCTGAGGTTTTCATCTTCTTTATTGGAAGCCCGATGGTGCTGTTTGCAAAAGCGACTGGAAGTTCTATTGCTTTCTTGTCGCCACAGGTGCATGCGTGCGTGCGTGTGTGTGTGTGTGTGTGTGTCCGAGCTGTCATGCAGACTGTTTGCAAGGTCTTTCCAAGGTCACACACAACAGCCGGGCAGAGTGCTGTGGTGACGGCTGTAGTCAACAATATCAGAACTGCAGAAGTCACCAGCCAGTTCCATAAAGCCACACAGAGGTCAAACCCGGTAATTGGCTCAGCCTGGGAGAGCTGGCCTCCCCTGCTCTCTAAGGCCTCCTTTCTCTTTCAATCATGCCAAGACCTTGACCCAGGAGGGCTAACCTGAGACCCAGAAGCCCAGGCCCTTTATTGGTCCTTCTCATTAAGCTCTCCAACAGTGGATGGCTCAACAGTGATTCCCTGAGCTCACCGTACAAAAGTATGACACGCGGGAGAGGCAGGAGGTCTGGACTGGTGTCAGCTCGGGTTCTGGGGTGGGAGGCTTGCTCTCCTGGTATATTCCCCGCCCCCTCCCACCGTGCTGGCCAGTGTGCAAAGCCTGATGCTTTGTGTAACACACACCCCGTGCTGTAGAAAATGTCAGGGCTCCATTTTAGAGAGAAGTCTGGTTAAAACTGGGTTAAGAGCCAGGCGCCGGTGGCTTACGCCTTTCATCCTAGCTACTCAGGAGGCTGAGATCTGAGGATCACGGTTCAAAGCCAGCCCAGGCAGGAAAATCCGTGAGACTCTTATCTCTAATGAACCACTCAGAAAACTGGAAGTGGCGCTGTGGCTCAAGTGGTAGAGCGCTTGCTTTGATCTGAAGAGCTCAGGGACAGCACCCAGGCCCAGAGTTCAAGCCCCAGGACTGACCAAAAAATATCAAATAAATAAAAAAGGAAAGAAAAGAAAACAAGAAGAAAAAAGTAATTTTTGTGATACATGGAAGGAATATGAAATGAATGTTTCATATGTTTATAGACTGCTGGTGGCTGTTGGGTTACAAGTGCAGTTTTGAGCAACAGTGGGCATTTTGTTGGGTCAGCTAGTCTCGGGTATTTTTTTATTTATCTATTTATTTTTGTCGACCGTGGGGCTTGAACTCTGGGCCTGGGCGCTGTCCCTGAGCTCTTCAGCTCAAGGCGACCGCTCTACCACTTGAGCCACAGCGCCACTTCCTGGTTTTCTGATGGTTTCATTGGGAGATAAGAGTCTCACGGACTTTTCTTGCCCGGCCAGGCATTGAACCGCGATCCTCAGATCTCAGCTTCCTGAGTAGCTAGGATGACAGGCGTGAGCCACCGGCGCCCCGCAGCCTGGGGTATGTTGTAAGGCAGCGTGGGGTGAGTGGCTTGCTCGCTATACCGTGCTGGGACAGGCAATCCAGGGCTACTCACTCCCTTATGTGCTGCATCCTGGCTCTGGCCATTGCTCTGTTGAGTTCTCTGGGTCCCGGGGACCGGTCTTCTGCCTCCGTACTGGTGGTGGTCCTTGTGTCTGGAAAGCAAGGCACAGCCTTTAGTGACGCAGCTTAGGGTGACTTTCAAGGACAACCACAGAACAGACGCTCATCCGCCCTTGCCACAGGTAACACGGCACTCCTTAGAGATAAATTCAATTTAGAACGTGCACATTAAGGATATTGACTCCACCTGATAAGATTAGATTATGTACAGTTCCGGTTCGGTTCACGCGAGGAATTTCGAGACCAAGCTGGTCCCACTCAAAAGATGAGCTTAGCTTGTTAGGAAACTCTGAAATCTCTCTGCCCTTAGCAAGTGTACTTGGGGAGACTTCGGCACGTGTGGATACTTGTTTTCGTGGCTGAGAATCTCTGCTCATAAGCTTAGCTTCCCCTGTGTCTTAATTTAATATCTGACTCTTCGCTCGTTTTGTAATGCTGATTAGGGGGGTGACAGGAGCCCTGACTTCCAGCAGAATGAAGTAGAAAGCCAAAAAGGGGTACTCAGAAGGGTAAGAGTTGTTCCTACAAGTTGAGGTCTTGGGAAATCTGTTGAGAGTAACATTTTCTCCTGGGAGACCCTGGAGGCCATTATACAAACTCGCTGGATCTGAAGGGAAAGAGACAGCCCTTCAAGTGAAAGATGGCCTTCTTTCCTTCCTTCCTTGAACTGTTTCTTTGGCTCAAAGTTAGCGCTCTACCACTTGAGCCACAGCGCCACTTCTGCCTTTTTCTGCTTATGTGGTACTAAGGAATCAAACCCAGGGCTTCATGCATGCTAGACAAGCACTGTACCACTAAGCCACATTCCCAGCTCCCCGCCCTCTCCTTTATTCTAATTTTATAAAATTGTTTCTGTGAGGGCTGGGAAGGTGGCTCAGTGGTAGAGTGCTTGGCTTGCATGCATGAGGCCCTGGGTTTGATTCCTCAGCACCACATAAGCAGAAAAAGCCAGAAGTGGCGCTGTGGTTCAAGTGGTGGAGCGCTCGCCTTGAGCTGAAGAGCTGAGGGATAGCGCCCAGGCCTAGAGTTCAAGCCCCATGACCAACAACAACAACAACAAAAATTGTTTCTGTCAGGGTGATGTGCAGAGAGGTTATTATTGCTTTGTGAGTTGGGTAATGAGTACATTTCCTTTTGGAAATGGAAAAACTCTTATTTCATTAGGAGCTGGGGCCATTCCTGTCTGCACACATCCTAAGTGTGCATTTCCACAAAGGACCAGCAAGTGCCTGTCGCCCTATCTGCAAAACTGCGAATTGTAGCTGCCAGAGAAGAGATCAGTGCAGTGGAATCCTTGCTCATTTCTCATTTGGAACATGTGATTCTCCCCACCCCCTCCCGCCCTCTGTCTCTCTCTCTTTTTCTTGGTGATGATCCTGGGGTTTAAACTCAAAAGCCTAGGTGCTATCCCTGAGCTTTTGTAGATGTCGCACTCCTGCTATTCTTTGAGACACTTCCGGTTTTCTGGTGGTTCACTGGAGATCAGAGGCTCACAGACTTTCCTGCCCGGGCTGGCTTTGTACCACGATCCTCAGATCTCAGCCTCCTGAGTAGCTAGCATGACAGGTGTGAGCCACCACCGATGCCGGGCGGGTCAGTAGCTTTTCTTCAATCGTCTTGCCTAGAAGCTGAGAGGTTCCTGAAGACGCCATCTCGCCTTGTCAAGCAATCCACGTGGAGCTCGAAACCCACTTGTGACAAGAGCAGAACTGAGATGCCCTCTGCCCCCTCTTCTCTCCTCTCCAATTCCCCGCCCCCCCCCCCCCCCCCCCCCCCCCCCCCCCCCCGAAAGCGACAAATCCTAGAGGTTTATGCAAATAAAGGTCAAAGCAATTTCTGGGCAAGCTGCAAGTTATTTTAAGCTGATCACCCAGCCCTAGGGCTCTCAGCACGGTGAGGGAAGAGGCTCAGCCTGGAGCCCAAGGGCAGAGCTCAGGGAAAATGTCATTTCAAGCCACATGGTTGGCGAAGTTTGGTGCTCAAGAGTAGATAAATAAATAAATCCATTTTCAGTATTTCCCACTGGCCCTTCTTTCCCACCTTCTAACGTGAACAGTGGGTGTTTTGTGCCAAAGAAAAGACGGCAGGTTTAACAATTACGACAAGACAACCCAGTCTGGAATAAGAGACGTCTTTTTTTTTTTTTTTCCCCTTGGTAGGTCGTGGTTCTTGAACTCTGGGCCTGGGCGATGTCCCTCAGCTCTTCAGCTAGCGCTCTACCACTTGAGCCACAGCACCATTTCTGGTTTTTGAGTAGTTCATTGGGGATAAGAAGAGTCTTAGGGAGACTTTTCTGCCCGGGCTGGCTTTGAACTGCGAGCCTCAGATCTCAGCTTCCTGAGGAGCTGGGATGACAGGCGTGAGCCACTGGTGCGGGGAAGATAGTATGCCTACCCACCAAAGCAACGAGCAATCGAAGTAAGCAAATACTCAGCAGCAAATAGCGGGGTGCAAGGACACCCGTCACAAGCATTATAACAGCAGTCTCTTTCCCGCCTGTGAAATACTGAAGGCTAACACTTGACGGTACCCCATGGAGATGTGTTGACAATGAGATGAAGGCAGCCTGGAGTAGAGAGGCATTAAGCAACTCCAAGTTGTGCTTCTCAAGAAGGCAAAGCTCAGCTTGTAATGATAATATTGTCACTTCTGTGATCTTTCACCAGCAGAGCTGTTCTTCCCGTAGGAGTGACAGCTTGATGATTCTGACATTTTAGCAGCAGCAGCAGCAGCAGGAGCGAGGGGGTGGGGTGGGGAAGTGTCTTCTCTTATTTCTTCCCAAAGTGCCTTCTGAAATTACCCTTTAAAGCTGCTAGCTGCTGGACATTATAGCCCGGCACCGGTGGCTGTCATCCTAGCTACTCAGGAGGCTGAGATCTGAGGATCACGGCTCAAAACCAGCCCAGGCAGGAAAGTCTGTGAGACTCTCATCTCCCATGAACCACCAGAAGACCAGAAGTGGTGCCGTGGCTCAAGTGGTAGAGCGCTAGCATTGAGCTGAAGAGCTGAGGGACAGCGCCCAGGCCCAGAGTTCAAGCCTCTCATTTTCTCAAGGCCTTCCAGAAGTAGCAGGTGCCGGGAAGACAGGCACAAAATGATCACCAAACAAACTAACTAAAAAACAAAACGAGTTCCGGTGGCCATGTTCCTCCTCCTGCTCTTTGGAATAGGTATGATGGAAGATTCACTTCACATCATCAAGGATTGGAGGAGCGTCAATATTTCAGACCGTGCTCGCCATTCAGGCTCTGGGGGCAATTGCTCAGCTCCAAACTGACAGCCTGAAAACAGTCCCAGGCGCCAGGTAAGGGGAAGTGGCCAGGTGCAAGGAACACTTCCTTTCCAAAGCAGGCCTTGGTTTACTGACCCTAGCCTCGAGGCTGGAGAATGTGATTTGGGAGCTGGAGGTCACCAGAGAATGCCTCCCTTTGACAGATGGGGAAACAGAGGCCCAGAGAGGCT